CTTTCTGAGAGACGCTGAACCGTCCAAGTTTATTTTGACAAGTTAATGTTTGAAATGCGAAAAGGTTAACCTATAATTTATGGTCAAATTTCGGCATTTTCTGCTCAGAATTGAGCTTCACGATTTTAAAGTTGGTTATGAAGGATATGCATTGCTTGTGAAGGTGTTACGGGTTGGTTGTTAACGTTACGAGTTGGTTGTAAAAGTTACGGGTTTATTATTAAGGTTATGCATTTGTTGAAAGTTACGTGTTGGTTGTGAATGTTACAGGTTGATTGTGAAGGTTACGGGTTGATTGTTAAGGTTACGGGTTGGTTGTGAATGTTACGGGTGGATTGTTAAAGTTATGGGTTGATTGTGAAGGTTAACTTCACAATCTATGCGTAACCTTCACAATCAATTTGTAACATTCACAACCAACCCGTAACCTTAACAGTCAACCTGTAGCCTTCACAACGAACTCGTAGCCTTCACAACGAACACATATCCTTCACAACCAACCCGTAACCTTCAAAACCAACATGTAACATTCATTCACTACCAACTCATGGGCTTAACAATAAACTTATTACAGTGAAATAACAAGAATGTATAAATTTACATACTCTAATTTAATCTCGAGTCATCGATTTAAAAAAAAAATTACAACAATATCCTCGGTAAGGAGTTAATTGTGAATGTTAACTTTACAATCAACGTATAACATTCACAACCAACGCTTATCCTTAACAACAAACCCATAACCTTCACAACCAACCCATAACTTTAACAACCAACACATAACCTTCACAACCAACGTACATCCTTCACAACCACCTGTAACTTCACAACAACTCGTATCATTCACAACGAACTCGTAGCCTTCACAACCAACATGTAACATTCACAACCAATGCATAACATTCACAACTACCCCGTAACACCTTCACAACCAAGGCATATCCTTTACAACCAACTCGTAACATTAAAAAAATAACATGTAACATTCCTTCACCACCAACTCATAAGCTTAACAATAAACTTATTATAGAGAAATAACTAGAATATATAAATTTACATACTCTAATTTAATCTGAAGTCATCGATTTCAAAAAAAATACAAAAATATGTAAACTTAAGGGGGTTGGCGACGCAACTCGTCAGCACTGTCATCTTGATAATCAGAGTTTTCTTCGCCTCATGAATGAACGCCGGGAAAGTTTCACCGCCGATGTTGACGCCGTTAAAAAATTTTGGAGGGAACTAGAATTTTTTTCCCCTAAAACCCATTTGAAATCATCACAGCAACATCATGAAGAGAGAGAGAGAGAGAGAGAGAGAGAGAGAGATTGTATTATGGTCTTCATATGTTTAAAACTCTTGGGTTTTGTGTTTTGGGGCTCAGGGAATAATGAGTTTACTTTTGGGGGTTTTGGGAGCATTGAAAAAGTCTTGGGAGGGGATGGAATAGTTGTTAGGAAATTGAGGGCGTGTCTACCTTCAACAATAAAACTAGAGAGGTAGTGAGTTCAAAACAGAGATGCTACAGGGACCTCGTAAGCAGAAACCCTGAAACGGCATTCAACAGGACCATGTGAGAAGCTCGTTAATTTTAATGTACATAATTCAGGTACCTAATGGCTGCGGGAGTGCTCTAGGAGCAATGCAGCTCATCTTGTATGCGATATACAGGAACCATAAAAAGGAAGAGACCAATGGTGTGGCTAAGACTGGAGATTCTATGGAGATGGACAATGTGAAACCTGCACAAAAGTATGAGAGTAATGGAGAACAAGTATAGATACTACCGTCTGTCTACTGCCCCGCTCCCTTGTATTCTCTGTTTCTTTTAGCTTGTGCCTTGTTGAAATTGACAGCTAGAGAGCAATGTTCAGTAGCTGTCAGTTACCTCTTTTGCTTTTGGGTGAGGATTTAAGAGTGACGGTCCTCCTTTTGCAAAATTCCCTGGAGACTATCTATTGACTGAATATGCAATTCTGTGTCTCTACACATTTTCATGTTGAATTCTGATTTTTATTTTCCTTTTCTCCTGGTTCTTGGCTTTGAAGGCGTCTCATATGGGTTTGCAGCATGTTTACTGTATTTTTTATGACATTTTAGCCATGCAAGGCTAAATCGTGGAAGGGAAAATAACCTTTGTTTGAGTAGTCAGAGCAGCATACTTAAAACTACAAGGAAGATTAGCTATACACCAAAGACTCGTCTGCTGCAGAGAAATCGGGTTTTAAACATAGACTAGGCACAAACTAATCGATTAGATTAAACTGTTAGATATTGACCCCAGCTTTCCATTTAGGTCTGTTATCCTTTCTAAATTTTCTCTTGTGTGGGACTAAATTCACACATGAACCACTATCTTTGACATTCACTCCCCTAGATCAAAAGTTGTGTGGCTAAAATCTGCGAAACTATTTCCAGACCCAAGATTGGAGCCTTCAAATGACCTGCTTCAAAGTTCTATTTAGACAAGTTTCATGGGATGTAGATTAATTCGGTTATAAAGGAAACTTCCTCGTGGCTCGTCTGGACTGACCTTATGAAGCCACGGGGACTTCCCTCTTTCCCCAATCTACCCCACCAATTTAGTATAAGAAGAGGTAACCTTGATCAGAAAACCTTAAGTCTAATTTCACATTCATTTTTATCAGATTTCCATATTCTTCTCCAAGCCACTAGCTTCAACATCAGAGGATCATTAGGTCGTCAAGCCTCGGTGCTTTCTCACTGTTTATTAGTGGTTTTAAGGAGGAGAGCTCAACTTGTTCAACGATCAGCAGAAGAACCAAAGGAGCCTCTACAACAACCTTAACTCCATTGAACTCTCCTCAACTGTTTTCAACCTGAAACACATCCCAAGCCAAGATCTTGCTTTCTAGGGATAATAACCTTTGTTCAGACCAAATGTGAGCAACTCCCATTATCTTCATGCATCAAGCCTGTGAACACGTGGGGGCCCAACCATGTGTGTGGTTGCGTTTTCTTAAAAAAAACGCGGTGGGGGCTGTGAACGAAGTGGGAACACAAGCCCCCAATTTCGGTTCTTTTGTTCGCTGGACGCAACGAAGTGTGAACGGATGAGAAGCAACGAAGTGTGAACGGATGAGAAGCAGATGTTTTTTTGTTTCCTGGATGGCCCACAAACCGCGTGAAGAGATGAAGATCCATCGGACAAAAGAATGCCCACCCGAAGACCCGGCAGAAGCTTATAAATAGAGCCCTAGGGTTTCGTGAACAGTTGGCACATATGCAAGATTGAGCAAAAGGGGGAAAATCATTGGCGGCCGTGCAAAAGTGGGGGAAAAATAGCAGGCGGCTGTGTTAAACTTTGGGCAGCGTGCAAGCTTCGTGAAGAGAGAAAAAGTATTTGAAGGCTGACCTTTTCTTAAGAAGAAAAGAAAGGAGTCTATTTGAGGGTTTAGATTGTGAGAGTTGTAAACTCATTTGTATTCTTTTTCTCTCTAATAGCAGACTTCCCCCTCCTTACCCCGTGGACGTAGGCAGTTTGCTGAACCACGTAAAATTAGTTTGTTTGTGTTTGTAGCCATTGTAATAGTTTTTAGGATCCCTCGACAAGTCAGTCCTAGAACTGATGAGAGGAAGAGCCGATATCTCACCTTGTTGAGATATTCGCTTCAGATTCTTGTTTCCTTGGTAAGACGATAATTCTTATTAGGATCTTTCTCTCTTATTGTGCACAAGAAACACTACCAAAATTTCCGTTGCGCACAACAAGTGGTATCAGAGCTCGGACTACGCTTGGGCTATTTGAAGGAGTAGATCGATTTAAAAGATCCTCTAGGGCTTTGTTTGGTGATAAATGTGAGATATTTTGGTAAAAGACTCTATCTTTTTAGTTTTGGATCTATTCTTTGTCTGTTAGTGCGTTGAGAAAGATGTTGGGGAAAGAAGGTGTTTCGGGTGTCAAGGGCGGTGCTTCTGGCGTGAAGCTATTCAGAGTTTGAATATTCACTCTATGAAGATAGATATAGAGAAGTTTAATGTCACAAATAACTTTGGATTATGGAGATGCGAGGTTTTGGATGCGCTGAACGCGCAGAATTTGGAGGATACCTTGGAGTTAGATGGCAAGCCAGATGAGATTGAAGAGAATGTTTGGAAGAAGATGAATCGAACGGCGTATGGTGTGATTAGGTCTTGTTTGACTCAAGATCTAAAATATAATGTGATGAATGAGACTTCTGCGAAGAAGATTTGGGAGATTCTCGAAAGCAACTATCCGACAAAGAGTGTTGAGAATCACTTGTATTTGAAGAGGAGACTTTATCGTTTCCAGTTGAAGAAGGAAACCTCAATTAGAGATCACATGAACACCTACACAAAGCTTCTTGCGGATTTGGCGAATGTAGATGTCATGATTGAAGATGAGGATAAGGCGTTGCTGTTGTTGAGTTCTTTGCCCGACGAGAAATATGAGACCTTCATCCTTACTTTGATTAATGGAAAGGCATCTCTTTCGTATAGTGAGGTCACTGCTGCACTGGTGAATTATCAGCTTTGGAAGAAGGATAAGGAGACTTCGACTGAGTCGGTAGCAGAGGCGTTAGTCGTAAGAGGGAAAGGTCCAAACCGAAAGAATTGAAAGTCACAGTCTAGAGTAGGACATCCTACAATTTGAAAAGATCAGTGTGATTGGTGGTGCAAGGAGACTGGTCATTGGAAGAAAGATTGCCCAAAGCTCGATGAATGGATGAAAAATAAGCAGAAAGGAAAAGGAAAGCAACCATCATCAGAAGCAAACATCGCATCGGATGGTAATATTTCTGACTCTTCTATTTATTCACTTTCTATCAGTCCTACATGTAGCTATTCGGAGGAATCCGAGTGGATGTTGGATAGTGGTGCGACCTATCATGTGTGCCCTAGAAGGGAATGGTTCTCTAGTTTTGAGAAGCTGGATAGTGGTGTGGTGTACATGGCTGATAACTGTACATGACAGATCCTTGGGATAGGAAGAATTCGCATAAAATATTTGACGGGACTGTTAGGGAGTTAAATGATGTGAGATATGTTCCTTCTTTGAGGAAGAACTTGATCTCGATTGGAACTTTGGTTGGAGAGGGTCTGGATGTTCGAATTGAGGACATGGTTCTCAAGATTGTGGAAGACTCTCGGATTGTGATGAAGGGCGTCAGGAGTGAGGACATGGTTCTCAAGATTGTGGAAGACTCTCGGATTGTGATGAAGGGCGTCAGGAGGAATAACCTATATTACTTGACTGGAGGTATAGTTGACGACTTCTATTGATTCGACTAGACTGCGGCATTTGGGGCTTGGCCATTCCAGTATTGATTCCTCGCTTAGATTGAAAGAGGGTACGAAGACCTGCAGTTTGAAGTCCAGTGAATATGTTGATGTGAGAAAGAAGACCAAGGTGAAGTTTGGCACCTCTATTCACTGTGCTAAGGGTCGTTCTGGAGGAGTTCACGTGGATGTTTGGGGGAGCCTTCCAAGGGGGCATCATTGGGAGGTAATAGGCGTTTGGTTTTCTTTGTTTGTGGTTGTTCTATGCGTGTTTGGGTTGCAACCAAATCCCCACTGGAGAAAGCCTTAGTAGTCTCCAACAGATTGAAGAAGTGTGTAATAGACAGAAAGGTGAAGGTACTTCATTCTGATTTTGGTGGGAGGTACAAGATGGACCTGTTTCTATATTGGAGCCGAGCTCACGGCATTTTAAGACACTTTGTTAGAAATGAAATCTTGGGGCAACTTGATAGGGTGACAAATTTAGAGAACCGTACCTTGCTAGAGGAGGATCGGTGTTTGTTGTCAAGCAATGATCTGCAGAAGAGTTTCTGGACTGAGGCTTCGACATATTTGGGTCATCCTATTAAAGAGTTGTCAACTGCTGTGATTGAAGGTAAAACTCTATTAGAAGATAGGTCTGATTGTGTCACTTTGGATGAGGCTTCGATGAGGAAGCCAATTGACTCTCAGCAGGTGGAGAGTTTTGGACAGACCTTAGATGTATCGCAGCATGTGGAGATTGATGCTACTTCACATTGGGTAGATATTACTCCACATACTTCAGATCATACTGCATCATTTGAGATTCTAGCTGAGGTGACACAGTTTAGAGATCATTTGGTTTTGGATGCAGATGATGAGTTGGGTTTTGATTCGAGTGCAGTTGATAGATGTAGTTTGGATATGACCATTGGTTCACCTCAGGTGGAAGTGTTTGAGGCCATTAGAGGTGCTATCAGCCGCAGAGTTGATGATATTGGAGAATGGTTGCGAACTCTTTTATTGGATTGAGGTCGTTCGCGGCCATTTGGGTGAACTATGTGAGGCTTGATTCCTTGGGCAAGAGGATACGTAGGCAGTCTTTATGATGCAGCCGGGTTGGATTTTGATAGGGGTTAGATCAATTTGGTGAGTTGATACCAACATTTAGAGAGTGTTCTCATTCTTATTTAGGTCTCGACTTGTTGTGGATTGAGTCTGTTGTCGTGAATTGTTTCACGTCATCTTGGACGCAACAAGTGAGATATTTGTTTTGGTTGGTGTCGGCTCAGTTTTGGAAAAACTTCGCGGAGGTGGAGAATTATGAACACGTGGGGGCCCAACCACGTGTGTGGTTGCATTTTCTTAAAAAAACGCAGTGGGGGCTGTAAACAAAGTGGGAACACGAGCCCCCAACTTTGGTTCTTTTGTTCGCTGGACGCAACGAAGTGTGAACGAATGAGAAGCTGATGTTTTTTCGTTTCCTAGATGGCCCACAAACTGCGTGAAGAGATGAAGATCCATCGGACAAAAGAATGCCCACCCGAAGACCCGGCAGAAGCTTATAAATAGAGCCCTAGGGTTTCGTGAACAGTTAGCACATATGCAAGATTGAGTAGAAGGGGAAAATCATTGGCGGCCATGCAAAAGTGGGGGAAAAATCGCAAGCGGCTATGTTAAACTTTGGGCAGCGTGCAGGCTTGGTGAAGAGAGAAAAAGTATTTGAAGGCTGACCTTTTCTTAAGAAGAAAAGTAAGGAGTCTATTTGAGGGTTTAGATTGTG